TAGCCGTGAAGATTAAATAAAAGTATGTTTTTATTAACTCTCTTTAAATTTTAAATAATGTCTGTAGTTTACGCGAGTGGTACATTTAAATAGATCACTTTGAACGGTTTAACTTCGAAATGTTTTAGCTATATATATTTATACGTTTACTTTGTTATTATTATATATAGTTTATTATTTTTTTAATTTAAAATCGAAAATAATTGAAAAAATTTTCGACTCGGGCAGATTGAACCGGCATCGTCAGCTTTCCGTGCTGTTGCTCTACCAATTGAGCTAACAGTCTTAATTTTTCAATTTATTTTCGATTTTTATTATATAGTGCCTTCATGTGCAATAACATGTGAAAAATATTAATGTTTTAAAGTTATTTATTTCTTTTACTTTATCCGTTGGTTTTAATTTGTGATTTTTTAAATATTTAGTCAAGATAAGCCGAGAGCACAATTTGTTTACATTTTTTATGGCTTGGTAATTTCACATTGTACCAAGAGAATCCCTTTTTGTCTGTCCTTCTCTGTCATATAAAACTGTAGCTACTGTATGTTTCTGACATAACTATAGCCATATATTTTCACTCGACATGTTAAGATTCGAGACGCCAAATAAATTATCCATAATGACTACGCTTGAGGAATCTTTTCGCTTCGACAAGTCGATTAGAATTAATTAATGGCGCTAACGCTGTTTCAATTTCATTACTCAGCTTATGTATCGGATTCAATTAAGTATTTTCAATCAGATATTGGTAAACAAGAATTTGAGAAATGGCCGTACCAAAAATTCGCTTCTTTACTGCAGTAATAATCTATTTACGTATGCTTACTTATATTAAGTTTTATAAAAACTATAATATTATATGAAACTGAAGAGTTTGTTTGAACTCCCTAATCTTAGGAACTATTAGTTTTAATTAAAAATGATTTTTGTGTCGGTTAGATGGGAAGTGATTTTCGCCGCTCATGGACATTTTTTTGAATATAGTGGAGGACAAACAAGCAAGAGGTTATGATCAATTATGATCAAAGAAAAATGCGCTTTTGTAATTTTGGCTTTGGATATTCGGAAATCCACAGACTGAAACCGAAACGCGATTAGGCTTTTTCATCCGTGCACCGGTGGTTTGTGACCCGGACGGAATTTCGATATTCCTACCACCCATTTAATACCCATATGTCCAAACATAACACCTCACAAAAAATACCATTCGAACATCTTCATTAAAATACCCGTTTTCCGACCACCTTTGTTTTTGACATTGCATTGAATGCTACTTTCAATTCAAGTCAATGATGTCACCTACCGAAGGTTGATCCTTTCTACTAAGTACTTGCTGCCTCGTTGTTCTAGAGGTTAGTTTGAACCCCGGCTGGGTCAAAGTGTAAGTTTGCTTTTTGGAATGTTTCAAAAAATATGTACGGTATACTCTAAAAAGGGCTACATTTTAAAACGAGGAGGTGTTATGCTTTGAAGAGCACGTTACCTCTTTGGTCAGGGTATTCTTTAGTAAATCCGTGATTCTAATGACAGAAGAGCACAGGCAAGCTTGAATTTCACTTGATGAAAGATGTAGAAATCCACAGACTGATTTACTGCCTTTTCATCTGCCATTCGTGGTTCTACACCTACATTTCCAGACTCTTACCACGCACTTAAAATCCAGATTTTCCAGACGAAGTCTCACATGTTTCAGAAAAATAGTAAATTTATTACAACATGTTGGAGCCAGTGGGAATCGAATCCACTCTCCGTTGATTATTAGCAATAAATATTCATACCATTTGATCGACAAAACTGTCTGTTTATAGTAAAGGTACTACGTAGGGTTTCGTAAATTCATTTCAATCGAAAATGGATTGTTAATTCATACAAACCAATACCACACTATGCGATGAGCGATGTTCTTTATCAAAAACCAAACAGGTTAAAAGAGGTTTCCTGAAAAACAACAGTTTCCGGACCGTGTTGAAAGACTTTCCCAAACCATTTCTCACGTCAGAAATGGGACAATATCCGATAACATAGATAGTGTTTGACATATTAAGTGCAACGACTAGAGTTTGTGTGCTTAGATTAAAATAATAAAGAAACGGTCATAAAGATTACCTTATAATTCACTCAATTATTATAAATTATATATATGCAATCATTTGACAATATGTAGTAGTTTATATTTTAATAATATTGTATACTTAATATTAAGAAATATAATGTTATAAACATCCGTGAATTGCGTACTGTTGTTATTGCGAATAGTAACCGTTTCTTTGAAACACTTTTAACAGTTTAAAACGCGAAATATATTAGTTACGTTGTTAACAATTTATTTTACTACGCAGCTTTGCGGCGGCCGTAGTCATGGGGGGACTGCTGCGGGGACGGTTGCTACAAAGCATCTAAAACTTAGTGCGTAAGATATATTGTAAAGTTAACAAATACACTTCGAGTTTTAAACCGTTAAAAGTGTTTTAAATATCTATTGTAATTGTTTTCACACAGTGTTGCGTTATTTATTAAATTAAAGGTGCACTCCTAGAATCATATTCCGTGACTTTATTCGAGTGCCTTATCAGGATAAAATTACTTTGTATAACACGTTTTCTGTTACGAAACACTGTACGGGTCAAATAAAGATTATGACACCTCACACATTCAATACATACCGATCGTATAGTGTGTCGCTTCTAGTCTTTCTAGTATTTAAAACTGATTTGAGATCTGCGGTTGTCCGTTGCTAAGCTTGTAGGCCTCTTTTAGGTAAGTAACAAGTTTGGTGCTAAAATAGAGTTACAAATATCAGTCGTATAGTCCACATCTTCTACACTATCGACGTTCTTGTGAAACTACTTTCACGGCTTCTTCATCTGTGGATTGTGGTTCAAGACCCGGACGAAATGAACGACCCAAATCAATTGTAACACATTTTATAAAAACTATAAATAGATTAGAAGCATGTTGGACCTGGTAAGAATAGAACCGACAATTGCTTGATTGTTAGCTATAGGTCAGAGAGTCTATCAAAATGGTCTACATTATAAAGCCATCATTCTTAGAATCTTTCCTTTTTCATGATAGAGAAGGAAAAACCAACACAGGGTTCACTAGAAGAGGGTGAAATAACCCATAACATCCAACATCACTATTGATCGAGTTTGTATCTACGTCTATCTTCATATTTACGGTGACGGTAGTTCATTTACTGAACCCGCTGGGGAAGAAAATGATGAACCAATCAAAGATGTCCGTTTCTAATTCAAAAACAAACTATACTTAAGAAGAACAAGTGCAAACAACTAAATAGTAAAAAAGAGCTAATAAAATTATAAATTGTTGTACGAAAAGTTCTATCTAGCGACAAGCAGCTAACATGACTAAGACACGGTGTATGATTTTGTAGACCTCACTAAACAGTATCCACTGACCTCATTCTACATAAGATTTGCATGTACGAGTTAAGATCATCTTGTTTTGTGTCTGTCAGCCTTTTCATTTAGACATTCGTTTTATATAAGAAATTGCTACATCGCCTTTTGTATTTATCGATCGCTTTATTGATGAAAAAGGACTGCTACCACCTCCAGGACTTGATCAAGCGTGAATGGTCCTGGGCTTCGAATCCTGGTAAAATTAATTCCCATACAGCTGGACAGCACTATGTCCACTTGCTTGGCAATGCATGAGTCAAATAGACACAATGATGTGTCTGCCCCATGTCCCACGTAACGGAAATGAAATATAATAAATTGCTGCTAAAATCATCAAATATTAAATCTACCTTCTCTGACAACCGAAATAAAAATCTTTAGATAATTTTTACTTAACTAGGTATAAACTACGAAGGAAGGATTTTAAAATGTATTTAAACTACGGCCTCGCAAGTAATAAAATTTTATGTTATACAATATCACAATTGGCAGTAACTTTTATGGCTAAATTTATAGTCGAGGTTTGTAAGCATATTTCTTTGTTAACATTTTTAGTTCATATTACCACAAATACCTACTTTTTAAATACAGAAAAGCACAGACAAGCATGTGGTGATGAAAGAAAACCCAAATCCTGAAATAACTAATTAGTATCTAAGCGTTATCCGTCGTCTCTGGACATTTGAAAAAACAGTGACTGAAACGTTGATGCACGGCTACTCCATCTGTAATGGGTTCGTTATGGTGGCAACCGATGTCAAGATTTTGAATATGGGGTCTAAAATATTTCAGCAGTAGTACTCCAGACACCATAAGAATCCCATGACATAACCCAAAGATAGCTATCGTTACACGACCCCGTCAAATGTTGCTATTATCCTACCTTATGTAGTTAACTAAATCTAAAAGAACAATATTAAAATGTGTATATTAATTTCCTACTAATAATAAGTTCCTAATAGCACAGTTAATCATTACGTCACCTTCTGACTCAGTGACCCACTGTCTGACCTCACAATATGTAAATAGAGTTGATAAAGCGATTGAGACAGAATTTAGATTATTTTAATTGGATTCATCAGCAAAGTTGTGTTGAACCTCTGTCGATCAAAGTTTATTTAAAGTATTTTAATCCAAGGTAAAAAATGGTACACGGAAATACATTTTATATATAATAAAGTGCCAATCTAAAATTTAGCTGATCAACCATTTTCCGATTGTATCACAAGTAGATTTCAGTAGCTATTAACTTAATTCAAATGCTGAAATCGAGGTTAAGACGATATTTTTGTCTTCTTCAAAGAGTACAGTTCAGAGTGTATGAATTTACTTACTTGACAACTTAAACTTAACAATTTGTTTTTTTTTTCTTCACAGATCAACATGCCAGTGACCATATTATGAAAACTCGGAAACCGCAATTAAATACGAACGAACGACATAGTCTGTGTAGTGCGTTCAGAAATGCACAGATTAACGAATCTCACTCGGATGCAGTTTTAGAACGCATAGAAAGAGATTTGAGCGGGACAGAAAGCTGAGTTCGAAAATAGAACGTTCAGAAATAGAGAAAAAATGCCTAGCTCCAAGTCAGTATCGGGGAGTGAGCCGGCGGATCAACACGCCGCATGGTGGGAAGCACCATGGAAAACTATGGCTGACCTTGCAGAAGCCGTCGACGATCTCATATGTAGTTTCGACTATATGGACACAGCTATGGATAATCTAGTGATGCTTATATTCATTTGGATTCTATTTTCCATAGTGTTACTCGGCATAGCTAAATGGGCGTACGGGAAATATGGTGCGAAGAAGGTGGACGAGAAAGTCGAGAAAAAGGTGAACGACGATGCGAAAAAGACCGCGAACGAAATTATCAGTAGCGCCGATAGCGTGCTGGCAACGAGTGCTAAGATAAAGAGTGGGACGTTCAAACCCAGCAAGCCGACCAGCTTCGTGCCAGCGACTCCGCCGGCGGTCAAGAAGCGATTGGGCCGCATGTCACCCGGGCCAGAGCAACTGTCGACTAGGAAACACCAGAGCATCATAGTACCCACATGCACGGGACCAGACGCTGCGAGCGTTCAATGGGTGAATGAGTTATTGACGTGGTTATATAATGATTTGGTTATTGTGAATGAACTAGTGCAGCAATGGATCGTGTCCATGAACGAGTTTTCGAAGAAATCGGTGGAAGAGGTGAGTTGTCCATCATACGCTTTACTTATACTGTTTTACGAGATATAAGTTTTAAATCTAGATTAGATTTGAAATTGTGTGGATATGTTTGTAATGAATACACTCAAAAATTACTGTGCCCACTTAAAAAACCATCTTACATAGAAACCTATTTTTAGCCCTCTATACCATTATTGAAAAGCTGAGGGATACTAAAACTTTAGTAAAGTAGCTGTCACATGCGCTGCGAAAACTGAATGACGATGGAAGAGTATGTTTTATACTAAAAAACATATACAACTACAAAAAGTATAGTATTTTTTTAATACTATACTAAGGCACATTTTGAAAAGTTACATACTTTTTAAAATTGAGAGAAGTACCGATGAAAATTAGACCATATAAATTAGTTGAAATTGGCTATTCCGTTCAAAAGATATTACGTAGATTTATAAGAAATAAACACTAGCGTAATGTGCATGTTGTTTGTGTGTTTTAAACGCTTATAATTAAATAAATTTTTTATTTACAATGATACCTACAGTAACAAAACAACAAAAAATATATAAATAAAGGTAATCATACATATTTAAACTTATTTCCTCTCCGAAGATGGGATAGGTAAACAGCTATAACATATTATTATATATTTCTATATTATACATAGAATGTATATAAAGATTCAGATGTTTTTTTGGCTAAAAAAAAAAGCTTATAAGGTTAATATATATCATTTTAATAGTAATATAACTATTGAATTTAATTCATTATATTGTTTTCCTTGACGACTGTAAATGTTATTATTATAATTTTCACATATTAATTGATAGGCTTAAGTATAAATTAAAAATCTATTATAGTTTTTTAACAAATATCATTATAGACTAACAATGGAACTAAAAACTAGGTATATCCGTGTTAACTAACGGTTCAATTCTCTTTGTTGATATAGTTTTAGGTTTAACACCAACTTACTTCTTCTATCTAAAATACAATAAAGCAGTTTTTCTGTATATAATTTACATTAACGCCTTAATGTGGGCGATATAGCAACAGTGACATTAGAAACATATTTTAATCTATGTATCTGATTTTATCTAAATGCAATTTCTAAAATACCCTGCACGGGTATAATATATAGTCTACATCTTACTAATACAAATTAAAGTGAGAGTTGTTTGTTAACCTATCTCAGTACTACATGTTCGATTGAAAATTACTTTTGGGGTGATCCCAACGCGATGTTGTAAAAAATGTGAAGATGATTCCTCTTTAAACGGTCTCTGAAAAATTCCGCGACGCCTATATGTCTATTAAGATTCCTTGCAAGAACGAGGGGACGAGACCACTTCTCGTCGAGCTGAAGTTGTGACAGCTTGTTAGCTTTTTTCTCACATCGGCCTAATTTGTTATCTTTTTATAGAACTAGAAACAATATTTCTCCCTAGTCTCATCAATTTCTCGTTAAGTTGTAGTTGCGGGCGCGGGGAAAACACAATAAAATTGTTATTATAATCGCATTTTATAAATGAAATAAGCAGTGTAGAGATTTAAGTTTTAATGTATTCATTCCCAAGAATAGCTTTGAAAGAATATGATATAAGAAATCAGATTATAATGACGTTATGTGCAATGCGTTCAGAAATGCACAGAGGAATAATTCACTTTCACTTTTGTTTTGTCAAGTACGACTGTACAGACATACATATGTAGTATTTGAATTCGTCATGATTATAGTCATTAAAAAAAATCCGTAATAATTGATTGATGTAAAAAACCCCTTAAAAGAATTAACACGCGAAATATTTTAGATATTTTGGTCGCTAGAGGCAGAGTAGCCTAACTGAAATTGTATGACATAAGTTATTTATATTTTCATTGTCTAAAAATGTTAATCTTCAGTGATTGAAAATTATTAACACAATTCTTACACAAATAACAGTACAAATTAATTTATGTATTTATTAAGTAAGTGCGCATTTTTATCTTTGCTGTTGGAAAAATTTGGTAATTCTAATATTTCTTAAAAAAAAATACCCTTAGTTTTAAACCGTTAAATGTATTTTATTACTACTTCGCTTGCCAGTCAGAGTTTGAATCCCGGGTAAGATGTTGGATTGTTTCGTTGCCTACATTTATGCTGAAACGAAACCTTTTCTTTAGCTTAAATGGTTGAGTTGTACCGCTAAGGAAGACATCAGGGTCGAAAGGTTTACAAGCTAGAACTAAATAAAATTGATAAGCCCTACTCGCTTAAATGCCCCACCATTCCCACGAGTGGGTCTTGACTTGTGAAAGACGTGCTGTGAATTAATCTTCAGATAATGTACATTCAACTATTAATAAATGGGTCACAAAACCATATGGCCTCGTCGTAGTTAAACGAAATTAACCTTTAAGTCTCGCTAATAAGACTTAATTCAATTTTGATTAATTGATCTTCTGGGGCCGCAATCAGGTCGGTTGTAAGACGGAACGGAAGTTATATCTCCATACTATACGATGACGTGATATTTCTTATTATAATCTTTGAAGATTAGTGAAATTTACATGTGTTTACTTGTATTATATAAAATTTAGTTATATTATAAAGTTTGGCAAACTTTCGTCTTGTATTTCAATTGTGACTCTTACTGATTTTTATATAAATTGTGCTAAGAGTGTAAAATAATTAATAAATCATTGTACTCACCACATACTATAGTACAATATAAAAACATTATAAACGGATAAGAGATACAGTGTTTTTTGAAACGTCGATCGTCTCTATGCTATTGTTAATAAAGTTTACGAGAAATATTTGAAATAACACGGCAGTTACACGACTGTCAATTTGCAATTGTGCCAAATGAATTTAGTTACTAAGCGATTGTTTTCATCGTCTAAAAGAGTAGATTGATGGCCTTTTCACTGATCGTGAGTATTCGTGTTGATAATCTAATTTATCTCGTACAATTCGAAAGTATACTTCAATTTGTCGCGACGCGATCCGCCTGCGCCGGCGCCGATCCTTGAACCCTCTTCAGCGGTAAAGGACGAGACCATTTGTATCTAAGTACCGCTTACTCATCTGAGTTAGCTCGGTCTCCGAAACTAAAAAACGCCACTATCTTTGGTCCCTGTCAATTTTATATGTACCTACATGGGATACATACTTATGTAAATAGATATCTTATAGGTATTTAACTTGCAGTTAGTTAGCGTTCAGTAATGACAAGTGAAGTACAAACAACACTTATCTATGTGTAAACTATTGTATCACCAATATAAATAGCATGAACTGATGTAGTTATTAAAAAATAACAGAGTAGAAAATGCATTATGATGTTTACTGCATATATTGTAAAACATAAGTATGTAGATAGTTTTAATACGTTTTATGAGAGACGGTTTTAATATTTATTTTTCTCAAAACAAAAATCTGACTTATAGGTATAAATGCAGAACTAATAAAGTTTTTTGCTGTAAAATATTTTGAAACATTTTTTGCTTATAAGGTCTTTTAACAAAAAAAAAAAAATTCACGAATGAATTAAACTACACCTGACATTAAATTTAAAACCTTTTTTATGATAGGGGAGGACAGACCAGCATGGAGTTGACTTGATGATAGGTGAAGTACCATCCCTTATAGCATTTAAACAAGATGCACTGTCGAGCTATGATGGCTTTGATATTCGAAAACCTCCATTAAAATTAATTTACCTACATTCTTTTCTGAGCATCTTCTTTATTTCGAGATCTTTTTAAGGATCAATTCAAGCCTATCAACGGAATAAAAGACACGTCACTGTGAAGTCACGCGTGACGTAATCGCGAGCCAAATCTTGAGCTGTATGTCAGTCATTTATTTATAGCCAGTCAGTCATCTGTTGTGTATTTGATTTTCGACTTCGTCTTCTTACTAGATATGAGGCTGCCAGAGGTAGAGTGGCCTAATAAGAAAGGACATGATTTTCCATACGGAGGGAAATAAAAATGCGCAATTAACTTAGGCGACAATGAATTTGTACTATTATTTGTGTAAGATTATGTTAACAATTTTCGGTTTTCGGCACTGTGCTCTTGTAGATTAATATTTTTAGACTATGAAAATATAGATAACTCAATTCATATAAATTACAGTTAGGCTATTCTGCTTCTAGCGGCCTCATATATAATAAATTTAAAATCGATACAATCTATATATACAACTAATAGCTACAAAATAAGTTTAAACTACTCATAGCAGTCATAATAATTAAAACAAACCATATTTAATTTGCCATTAATAAAAAAATATTTCAAAAGTCTATTGCAAAAAGGTGTACATAATATATCGCATTTAAACAAATGAAAACCAAGGAAGCGTGGGAATTTAGGTCGATTGGCGGGAGAATTAAATTTAGAACACGATTTTGATTCGTGCACTCGCTAGATGGAGTTTTTATGTGTTTTATAGTATTTTTTTAAATACATTTTAATATGTTCTTCTTCTATTGATTGTCCCCCATTGTTAGGCAGACAATTGACGTGCCACACGGTTTTATTTTAGTCTAGTCTATGCATATGTTTATAATTCCCACGACTCTATCTATTTTTTTTTTTTTTTTGTTTTTAGTACATTTATCTTAAACATTGCAATATATGTTTAACATAAGACCGTTTAACTTAAAAAGTTTTTTTACCTAATTTTATTTATTCTATTTTATTAAAACACTACATTACCTCGAATAATAAAGAGCGAACCAAATATATGCGCAGTGACACTTCCTCTACAAAATTACAAGCAGGTTTTGTGTTAAACAAAAACTGGCTGCAATTTTTTTGTATTTTCCTGTTTCATTGACACTAATTATGTTTACATAGTAATTTTCAAAATAACCGCTCGGTGCCTCATTTAGTAACAATCTTTTTGCTGTCCAAACTAAAATACGATGGCAAGCAAAAAGTGTGGCATTGATAGTGGTTTTTATATCAAGTTGAACGTGTTCTGCTGCCAATAACCCCAGATCACAAACGCTGGCGATCTGCCACATCGG